AAATAAATTTTATAAATATCATAATAATATTTTCAATGAAAACATATAATTCAAAGTACTAGTCCAATGCACACAAACATGGTCAAGTAATTTAACTGCATACCCACATTTGATCTTAATACCTCTTAAGCATAATTAATTTCAAGGAAACATTCCTTTAGTATCAAAAAGAATTAGATAACCAAGATATACTTATTTCTATGCAAATTGAATCACTTTGAAACTGTTATTTCTTGAATATTTTTTATTTATCTTCATATAATGTTATTATTGTATTTCAATCACAAAATCAATAATTTTTTTAGATAAAACAAAATCAATAGCCCCTCAACTGAAATCAATAGCAAATGACCCCTTAAACTCATGAACAGTGGCAAATCAGCCCTTATTTAACAACTATGTCAATATTCTGTTAAAAACTAACGGTCCTTTAGTATGAATGGATGCCACAACTTATTTGGATGCAATGTGACCCATTGAAGTCTGACATGGTTTCTCATGTCATTCAATCATTATTATTTTTGAATTTTCTTAAATATTTAATTAAGATTTAATTACTAAAATCTAATCATCTATAATTTTTTCATGTCATTCAATCATCTATAATTTTTTCATGTTCTAAAATTTAATTACTTATAATGAAAATCAATTGGATTAATTAAATCTCAATTGTTACTTTATCAAGCAAACAAGAATTAAAAATTTTATATACTGTAAGATGATTTGATAATTGAGTAAAATCTATTTTTATTCATAAAAATTATCTCAATTTAAAAATTATGAGAAATTAATTGTAAATTTAAAATAAAAAAAAAAGAGTGGTTCGAAGGAAGAAAAATTAAGAAGTACGAAAATTACATAAACTAATTTTTTTATATAAATTAATTATTCAAATGTGTATTAATTACATCTAGGTTAGATAACCTATTTATTCGATTTTTTAGATTTTCTGTTCTATTTTGGCATTTTTTTGCAATAAAATTAAAATGCTTAGAGCGTTTAGGTGGCGCTCAAGCAGCACCAATGGTGCAAGGCAGTGGCCCAACACCTAGGCACTGCCTAGCGTCTTTTGCAACACTAAGACACATGAAATCACCGCCACAGCAACCCAGGCAAGGCACCAGCCACCACTCCGCCTAGTTGCTCATTTTTTAACACTTGTGAACTCATACAAACAAAATATGACACCTGAATCCTAAATGCTGCCTTGGTTGCAAGAGAGTAGTGGAGACACTAAAGTAATCAAGGACGAAAAGAAGCATAAGCATCAACAACATCAAGTACTGCAGTCTATTTGATTTTGGACAGAATACTCTATACAGGCTACATAGTTATATTAAATCAAAATTAATGTTCTTTAAATTTTATTTAACTTTTAAAGTCAAGACATTCTCAGCATGTATGTGTTTACAGTAATTTCCACTCTGTAGTATTTGAGATTATACTTAGTCCACTATTTTAAATTAAAACCTGTTAACTGGAAAAATCCCACATTGGTGAATTAAAGGGAAACCTATGGACTTCAAATACAATGTGGTACTCCACATATTACAATTGGTTTAATTT